TAAGCAAGGCAAAGAAAGTTAGAATTGACGGTAAGGATTTGGGCAGCCAGGCGTATTCTGCAGTATATGTCAGTGTGCACTGGCGAAACATGGGAAAAAGCTTCTTGGCTCAGCTATTCAGAGAAAGAAGGGAATGCGTTGGAAATTGGTCTGGACATCGGGGGGGGGGGGGGGGGGGCAAGATTTTGCTCGAAGAAACGAGTCCTGTTATAAAGATAAGCAACGCAGATGACCTCGCCAAGATGACGGTCGAAGGAGGCGGAATCGCCGCACAGTGTTTGTTTGTATTGTTTTTTTAACACGCGTAAGCTAACAGACCTTCGTTTAAGACGAGCACCGATATAGCGACACCTACCGATAATGATCATGATAGCTGTTCTGTGAATGATCTGCTTGGAGTTGCGCGTATGTGCATTGAGGCATTAAGGTTAAGCCTCCGCAGTCACCCCTGAGGAAGGAACCAAGTCGGCTCCGAAACGACAGGTTTTTTCAAAAGTTTTGGTTGGAGTCTTAATCATCTCCCAGTTTCATACCCAACCAGACAGACTTCTGTCGAATGTTTACATTCAGACTGAAACTGTGTGTTAGAGGAAAGGGATGCTAACTCGGCATACAAGCTATTTAATATAAAACTTATAAAATCTTGTGTTGAAGCTTTTGCACTGTCTTTGAAAAACGCAAAACGCAAAAAAATGAGAAAACCTTGAATAAAAACTGCGTTATTTAAAAAAATGCAAAGAACAACATGTACCATGCATTCGTCAATACGCTAGATGGCAAATTACTCAGTGAGTTCGGAAAATTCAGAAACCAGCTAAATTGTGAACTGAGGCACGCTAAACTCAAGTATCATGAGAACATATTTAGTAGAATAAGTGATAATTTTACCAAAATTTGGAATGAGTTTTGAAATCTTTCTGGTCGAATAAAAAAGAGTCACATTGCAAAGTTTCAGGCAAACTTCAGTGTTCTTGGTAACAGAGATGTGGCAACAGCAATGAATGAATACTTCATAAAAGGTAGTCATTTCGATGAAGTGGTGCGTGATGAGGTTTCACAACTGCCCGTAAATGTCCGCAGCTTATCTAACTCCATAGTCCTGCACATTATCATGTCATGAAACCGAAGAACTAATAAAAAAGATTAAAAACAATTGTACAGCAGGTTATGATGACTATAAACCTATACCACTAAAATACGTCGCCGATGTTCTATCCCCTGCGTTGACATATATTATTAATTTACCTTTTGCTACCGGCCTGTTTCCTGAAGAATTAAAAATATCTTGCCTGTACCAGGTTTTAGAGGGTGGCAATAACCGAGAAATTGCAAATCACGGAACCATATTGGTACTAGCGATTCTGTCAAAAGCTTTTGAGGATGCTATTATTATTAAATTACAAAACTTTTTGCGAAGTACAATGTCATAAGTGATGCTCAATTCGGCTTTCAAAATTGTAAATCTACTGAGCTTGCATTATTTATTCTAAAAAATGAGATACTAAGCAATTTAGGAAAAAACTATACACGCTTGGACTTTTTGTTGATTTTTCGTAAAGCGTTCGACACCATCTACCATAGGGTTCTTTAAAAAAAAACTTAATTACTATGGTGTGCGTGGTGTTGCTAATAAAGTACTACGAAATTACTTAACAGAGCTTTGTCAGTATGTTGCTATCAATCAAGAGGTATCTCCGCGCGCCAATGTTAACAACGGTGCGCCACAATGATCAATACTTATCCCTCTCTTGTTTGCAGTTTATGTTAACGTCTTATGTGATATTATGGGTTCTCCTAAATTAAGCATGTATGTTGACGACACCAATATTTCCTTCGCTGGTTACTGAATCCCTGAACTTCATAGTACTGTGAACACATATTTAAATAAGTTGTCTTGCTCACTTAAACTAAACAAGTTGCGACTAAATGCGAGTAAAACAAAATTTGCGTTGTTTGCGCATATCAAAAAGCCACGAAACATAAGTATAAACGTCTCCTTTAAGGGCCAGCCTTTAGAGCAAGTAAGGGTACCAAAATTCTTGGGCGTGTGGTTCCAGGAAGATTTTTCTTAGAATGAACACATAAATAAACTAGTAGCAGACTTAAGTAGAAGTGCTGGATGTATGTACAGACTATTTCCATTATTACCCCTTTGGCTAGAGAAAACGTTATATTATACACTGCTCTACTCCAGGCTAAGTTATTGTGTCTTGTGTTGGGGAACAACGACGGCACAGAACTATAAGACGTTACTCACGTTACAGAAAAAAACACTACGACTAAGCGAAGGATACTATGGTCACTCCTAAAATTTTAGCATGCATCCGTTATTTTACAAATATTTCTTATTGCAAGTCAACCAAGTATATTACTACAAGTTACTTTTGTACACAAAAAATAACTAACCATATTCCATGTGTGATTCTTCTCGGTGTGTTGAGTAGTGTCTCCGTACACCTGGCAAGGGAATATCGAGAAATATGGCCATCTATGGTCAGCACCATACTAACAACCAAATACCCCGTCTCCTCCACAAACATGAAAATGTTGTTGACCTAAAATAAAACAAATTTCAAAAATACAATAAAGGAACTTCTCCTTCATAATTGCACTGAATATGTTTAAAAAAGTACTTCGATTAGTTGTTACTTTACGTGCACTAATTGTTAACTGTATAGTTTCAATGCTGTTGTTTGCTTTCGAAATGTATATGTCCGCAAATGTGTTTTTTATCTCACCTATTCTACATTTTGCGATAATGATGTTTTTCTCTAAAGGTATTTTGTCTTTTGTTATGCATATTGTTCTGTTTTTTTTTCAGATCGTAGCGTTTATTTGTCTGAATATAATTTGCTGACTGTTACTCTTTGTGTAAAAATTTCTTTTTTATCTGCGTCTAGGTTGTGTACCAGACTGTATTTCGGAGCGAAAGCCTCCGTCAGGCTTTCAGCCTTTTGATATTGCTTCGTGTTTTTTATGTGCAGGAAAAAGAAATAAACCTCAAACCTGAACCTCAAACTTGTGAAAGCCTGTCGGTAAGCGTTGATGCTTTGAACGCGAGATCACAGCTTTTCAGATATTCTCAAAATTGGCACAACTGCGTCCAGGAAGCATGTTCAGTAGTGAAAACTGCTCATCATTCGGTGCTGCTTGCCTGAAAATGGCAAAAAATTTGCTACAAATGGGTTTCACTTTTCTATTCATCTTCATGCAGAACGAAGTATACATGCACGGAAAACAACTTTGAAGGCATCTGGTGGGGTGCCCATAGTAAGCTATCATGTTTTGAACGCACTGTCTGGGCAAGTAATTGTAGAACTGATATGGATATCTATGCTAAAAAAACGCTCACCCACATTCTTATAAAATAAACCAACTTTATCCCAACACACTTTGCATCAATATGTTACATAGCAATGACGAGCTACTATCCGCTTCTGAAGATCAAGAGATAATTGAATGAAAACAAAACAGGGTGCGTCATACATTTGGTGCCCACATCTTCGTCGACTGGTAAGAATTTACGCATGGCTGACTGCTCAATATTTCGAAAGCAGCTAGCATATTGATAATTGCTGAAAAAACAAGGACTCTCGGTAAGATGTTTTTTTTATTATTTTGAAGGAGGAATAATGCCATACGTATCTGCCAGTGACGAGGACAAAGAAGCAGCGTGAACACGTCCCCGAACAAAAGTGAAGAATACGCGGCTGCCCGTTTGCAGAGTATAATAAAGCCCATTCGTTTTTAGTCCTCCGTATGATAGTTGACCACGCGTCGTCACAATACTCCGTGCCATCAGATGCCGCATCGTCATGGTGGGATCACTGAGACTAACACTCACCAAAACTTTCATCAGCTGGTTTCTGTATGAATCAAACTAACTAAAGATTTTAACAACCGGGCTCCTTCAAACTCAAATTTACCAATCTGTTATTCGCACGAACTCACTCACACACAGAACCACGGGTCTATCTGAGCTTGAGTGGTTTTTATAGAGTCAACTCGTGAATCAGTTTGCCATTCTTATGTAAGTGATAGACTTAGTTCTGGATTTACTAGTAGTTTGTCGGCTGTGATGAAATTTTTATGTGGTTTAAATAAAGGCTTTCACATATTTTCCGGTATTTGTGTAGACTGAGCCAGAGGAGTTGCTTGAGACCACCGTAAGCGGCAAATCTCATTGGTTCTAAAGCCACAAGAAATGAAATATATTTATTTAAATACCTGAAAACTATGCACATGCAACGACAAAATTACCGTACGACGGTATTGTAAATTCTTCGGGCCATAGAAAAATAGTGCGAATACCTCCACTTTGAATTCTCAAGGAGCTTTATCAGCAAACTCCACGCCAGCAGGTACATTATTACATCGCATTCAAAGGTCGCATTAAGGGTATAATGTGGTGAAACAATGCTTTCATGTACTCGCATACTCGTATCCAAGTCTTAATCTGAACACGCACTATTTGTAACTATTTGTTTTGATAGCTTAAAACACAAAAAAAGCTGCGAGTTGTCAGAAAATAAAATAATTACTTAGTATTTAACTTGCTGTAATCTTGAAACAAAAACTTTTATGTAAATTTGATGCGCTTCTTTCACACGGTGATCAAACAGCCTTTGAACTTGTGCTTAGAACGAACGAACAAAGTCTACGTAGAGTAAATCTCATGTGCACGACGCACATATTTATAAACACCCAGTGCTAATAAATATCTACTTTGACCAGCTATTCGGATACTTAGTATTACAACTCTCAGTTAGTCACAGCCAAGATACACGCTCTGGCCATTTCAGTGCCAACTGAAAACGACCTTTTGGCATCGATACGACAGTTGAGTCGGCCGTCCTTCAATCGCTTGTTTTGATGCGGTGTAAGAAAGGGGACTTCCCTGACAGATCGCTTCAATTAGAAGGGCGTGAACGCGAAGGACGCGTCGGCACGTGGCTGGGAAGAGCTGTATATAAGCGGGCGTCGTTCATTGTCAGGGAACACACAACCACCTTTGAAGCCAGCGCACAAAGAACTTGAGGTGGGTACTTTGATTGTTGTGGTTTGAGTGCCCATGACGCAGCCTATTTGCCAAATTATCCCAGAATGCGCATCACATGTCTAGCTCTCGATGATTGGACTAGGCGCACACTTTCTTTCGTAGGTTGTTAGTTTATAGTAAATTAATTGAGAGACAATGATAAGCGTTCAAAATTAAAACTTGTGTAAAAGTTATTCTGCTTTTCTGCTTTGAAAAACATGAACAGGTTACATCGTTCAATATTGTCAAACTTTCGGCTTTTTGGTAATCTTCTTTCAGTTTATATCGAACAAATATCGTACTATCACTGCTATATAAAGTTGAATCATGTTTTTTTCATTCTCGTCATCGTGCGCATATTAAAAGGGGGATGTGAACAAAGTGAAAAATGTTGATTACACGCAACCGAGTTCATTCAAATGATCATGTAGACATTTACTGCGGAAGTAGGAAGTTATGCTATCAATCTAATAAAGGTAAAATTGCTAGGACATTCAACTTAAAATGCACACCACTTTCTAAACACTTAAGTTATGTTTTTTTATGACAAACATAGACGCAATCTCAAATAAGCCTACACGTGGTTATGGGTTCAAAATTCTGTGACAATAAATGAAGTGCATAAATTTTAAAGGAACAAATCTAGGTAGTACATGCATACCACCATACCACTGTGGACTACATTTTTTCTATGTCTGCATGATTAAACTTCACCTTATTGGACAATCAATGTTCCCAAGATTGCCGAAACTTTATATGTGAGATGTGATACATGCCTTCGTGTCGTTAAGGTTACATAAGGCAAGTGGCATAAAATGTAAGCAACGATTCCCGTGAATTTTTCAAAGGCACTCTATGCTCACTGTGTAAACCTCCACACATCAAAGTTATGACACATTACAATGAAAATATTCTAAATACAGTGTACTTTCAATGATACAGTCCTTACAGCAATTTGATTTTAAGCTTTTCTTCAGTGTAAATGAAGTTGATGGAAATATTTTTAATGTAAAATACCACTGCCTACATTTTGCGCATTCTTCTGCACCTCTGTGTAGAACATTCTCAACTGTCATTGATTTTAGCCTCACCCCGTGGCCGTCGTAGGCGACTTGATTTATATGTACTTACGTCAAGTTTTAGTTAATGCCAAGTGCTTGCGATGTTTGTCCCCAGCCGACCACAGTCATGATTGGCGTGAGCAGCAAGTCCTTCCTTCTCGCCCTCCTGGTGCTCGCTGTCGTCTGCAGCATGGCAGCCGCCCAGTACGGCTTCGGACGTGGAGGCTTCGGAAGGGGCTACGGTGGCTACGGAGGAGGCTTCGGCCGCGGATACGGTGGCGGTTTCGGCCGCGGCTATGGCGGCTACGGCCGCGGATATGGAGGCTACGGCCGCGGATTTTACGGCTGAGCGCAAACTTCGATTGCATGAATGACTACCCGGAAATCTACCGGGAAGATCGATAATGGTGCCAATGTGATTCAAAATGCTGTCTAGAAGAATAAATTATTTATTTATGATAAGCAGGTTGTTTTGATAAACCCCTTGCATCAACTGACTTGGTTATGCTAACAGCGTTCTGGAGCTGGTCTGTGTTCTTTTTATCTCCTTGTCTTCATTTATGTCACGCTGCATACGTCGAAATGCGCTGGTAGGTCTCTTGTACGGCAGCAATCAATGTCGAGTAGTTTTTTTTTCGTACTTACGGGCACGAGAAATGTCACGGAGCTCACTTGTGTTGCGGTAATGAGTCTAACAAGTTCACCGACGGTTGCTATGTGGCCCTGTGGGATTTATGAGGGCAGTTTGTTATGTGTTGTGATTTTACGATCAGTAGCTGTGACTGCCTCGCTGACCGCAAGACTGCGGAAGGCAACGTGTTGGTGTGTTCCGCAGCAGCCACCATAGACAACCGCTTTATTTTTCCATATAACAATGGTGTGTGTACTCGCAAACACATTAAAGAACCCTGAAACAATTTTGACGATTTTTTTACAAAGAAATTGGGCTGGTAGGCCAAGTCCCAAGGATAATTTAGAGACCAAATTGAGCTCTATGCGTGAACTGTGTAATTCGTGTCATCGCTTTAAACAGCGAATTGCTTCAGATCGCTGGAGATTGCTGTGACTCGGCCAAACACGCTTTCAATCACCCATTAGATAGCGACATGCTCTGTCCTATTGACATTATCGTTGCAGCTGATCTGTTTGACTGTGAAACATACGGCACAGTTATTTTTATTTTCTATAAACTGGTAACAAATATAGCTCGCAATCTGTAAACACTTTATAATTCGTTTTGCCTAAAATTTTGTCACATATAAAAAAAGCTCGATCGCAGTTTACATTTAAGCTTTGGGACTTCGGGCATTCGGCGAACGTCGTCTGTTTGGATTTCACATGCTCTATGTGGAACTCGGCCGCGGAACCCGTGGGTATTGCGTGGTTGTTGTGATGGGATTAATCACCCTTACTGCGCTGTAGGCTGAAAGTTGAGCTATTACCGGCAAGATACGACACCGTGTGCCTTTGAAGGGCAGCAGGCCCACCGAGTGGCTGCAGCGCATACGACTGCCTGTGTCGGATTGACAGCGTGAATTCCGCGATTGTTGTCGACACTTTAAGAAGAAAGGCCACGAACTCAATTCAGTGCTTAAGCAGCGATTTGGCGGTGGTCTGAAGAGGCATTCCCTCAAAGTCTATGCACTGCCGTCTGTGTTCCTTTTTGGCAAAAAAGTAAAGGCACGGTTAACGCAGATGCTATGCTAGGCAAATTGTGCGTGGTTCACGCATGGGTGCTCTGAAAATTCCATGTAGCCTCCTCAACGAAAACTATTACGACTGCGTCTCTTCAATGAATGGTGGTCAACTTCACACTAATTATGTGCACATCGAAAGACTTTCACCGGTTCGCGATTTCCACAACTTACTATAGAATGACATGGAGCATGTGAATCGAAAAAAAATACTTCTGAAACGACTGCGAAAGTGTAAACCTCGCAGGGCGAGCTGGAAAATCCTGGTTCAAGTGTAAGTCACGCATGTTTCCTATACAATTGGCACCAATTAAATCCCGCAGTTGTGCCACTCGCGTGCAATGGCGTTCATAGGATACGACCCGATCGGTCGTGTGGTAACTACGCTGAATAGCAATACCATGACCCGCTAGAAAATCATCTCGCAGTGCCATCCAAACTGCGTTAAATCTTGAAGTAGTTCGTGCCTGAAGCACCAAAAGGGCAAGAGCAGGGCGACGAAGAAGAGGAGGGCGAGGTCAAAACAGGAACTTTAATCAGGTTGATCTGGGTTCCCAGACACAAGGAAATAAATATGAATGAAATGGCGGACACTCTGGCGAAATGCGCTCTGAGTGGTCAGGTACTTTCAGTTATTCACACATCAGCACACATAATACGTGACAGATTTTGAAGGCGTGCCATAATTCAAGACTCTGGTAAAACATTAATTCTTTACCTAAACTAGCATCGACACCTCTTGTTCCCTCGGCGTAAAAAGTTCTGGTCAACACGCAATGAAGTTATTTTTACAAAATTACGCTGTAGATTTCCAAAATGAAATTACTACGTGCATAGAGCTGGTCTGGCTCCTTCCTCTCATTACTCATTTTCTAACAAGTATGAAACAATCGAACATTATTTATCGTGTAGTCTCTTCAAGCCACCGAGGAAAAAGATTCTTCAGGCCCTGTTTAAACGAAATAGATTGAACTTCACCATTTTTAATATATTCTCCTTCGGAGCCTCTTCATTAAGTCATTGTCAGCGGGACATTTGTTATTATGTAGAAAGATTCTTCATCGAATCAAGGCGGTTTCGATTGCAAATCTCTCAACCCGTAAATTTGATTTCCTCCAACCAGTTTATAGTTCATTAGATTTAAAAGTAATAAGTGATCCCCTCTATCTAATTACTAGTTTTTTAACCTACCTGCCATAGTTGGTATGAACTGTGTCTTTAGGCCATCATAATCGTCATCAGCATCAGAATCATCATCATCAACATCAGAATTTTCTCTCTTTTACCAAGCATTGAATCCAAATTTGCGTGCTCAGAAACAGTGTGGCCGATTTTCCTTAAGGGTGTGAGCCAAGATCTTCTAGGCAACAAAACAAAACAAAAGGTAGCCGACATTCATCTCTCAGTTGCTCAATGTTTCAGTTAATTTCCTTAATTAAACGCTAGACTTTGGCGCAGCGGTCAAGAGAACCTGTGGATGACATTGTTCTTTGACCGGATGTCGTCAACTGGAATAAGCTTCACCAGCTACCCAGTGCATGGTAACTGAAAAAGAAAACAAAACTGGGTGCACGATACATTTGGTGCCCATAACATTGTTGACTGGTGGGAATTTACGGCGTGGCCAAATACTCCATATCTTTGATTCGGCTAGTATATTGATAATGGCTGCAGAAACAAAGCTGGAAGATAAGAGAGCTGAACACTTCTTTGCGAAAGCTTGAATGTATCGCACTGCTTCATTAATAATTGTTGTTACCTTATTATACGCCACCGGAAAATGTGCAGAAAGATAATGTCCTCGTCACTGGCACGCACGCGTGGCACAACACCACGTCATCATAGATTTCGACACCAGGCCCATCCAGCAAAATCCTCATCCCGTGGCCCCGAAGGAGTGCTAGGCAATTCAAAAACAAGTGCAAACGGGGCTGGAAGACGGCGTTATTCGGCCATCCAACAGACCTTAGCCATCGCGTATAAAAAGGATGGCAGCTTGCGGTTCTGTGTCGACTATAGTTCAGCTTTCTATAAAGCTGAACTAGATCAAAAAAGGATGTTTATCCACTGCCGCGTATTGATGAATCTCTGGATAGGTTACGAAACACAGGCTACTTTTCGTCAATGAACTTTAAAAGAGGCTATTGGCAAATTGAAGAGGATGAGGGAGACCGTGAGAAGACGCCCGACGGAGTTTTTACGAAGTTTAGGTGCTCTATTTCGGTTTGTGTTCGGAGCCAAGTACGTTTCAGCGTCCAATGGACACCTTACTTTCGGGACATGAGTAGCAGACGTGCTCGGGGTCCCTTGATTACGTGATTGTCTTTTCTGTGACGTTCGAGGAGCACTTACCGAAGATCAAAGCAGTTTTTGGCGCAATACGTTTGTCCGGCCCTACACTAAAGCCTGAAAAATGACTCTTTGGCTTCCATGAACTCAATTCCTCGGTCACGTTGTCAGAAGCTAAGGAATTCGACCTGATCCAGATGAATTTGCTGCCGTGGCGAATATCTTAAAACCGTCAGCTGAAAAAAATATATTTCGGCGTTTCTGGGCTCTATACAACTACTACCGCCGATTTATTGCCATTTTTCACGTATAGCATGGTCTATCTAGAAGATATTTCCTTCGCATGGGGCAAAGACCAGCAACGACCTTTCACGAGCTTCGTCAGTGCATACAAAGGACTCGCGTTCTCGCCTACTTCAATGAATTAGCGCCGACCATATTGCACACCGACGCTTGTAATGCGGGTCTCGGAGCAATACTCGTACAGTGGCATGATAACAGTGAAAAGGTGATCGCTTATCCCAGTAGGATGCTGTCACGAACAGAAGTTAACTACACGACGACCGAGGAAGAATGTGCCACATTAGTACGGGCAGTTCTGAAATTTTGCTGTATTTGTACAGTTGTTCGATCACAGTTATCAGCGAACACCATTCACTCTGCTGGTTAATTATTGGAAAGCTTCGTCCGGCCGCTTCGCACGCTGCTGTCTTCGGCTCTAAGAGTTCGACTTCACCGTTACTTACACCTGGTAGACGACACGCTGATGCTGATGGTTCTTCTCGTTCTTCCGTCGAAGGAGCAGACCACAACGACGAGGACACCGCTTTTTTGGGAGTTATGGACATTGCCGTTCCTTCACGCCAGCAACGGGACTATGCTGAACGGCAACCGCTGATTCATTACCTCGAAGGACAAACCAATAGTGTGCCCAAATCATTTTTAAGAGGGCTAGTGCCATAATGTTTGCATAATGACCTATTTTGCAAGAAGAACTTCTAACATAGCAGCAGCAGCTAGTTGCTTTTCGTTCGCTCATCGTTTTGAAGTGAAATCCTCCACGCCTGCCCCGACCCGACCGTCGCTCACTTAGGCTACACCTGGACATGGTCATGCTTTAGGCAGAATTACTACTGGCCGAAATTCGCCACGTTCGTAAAACACTTAGGTGCCGACGTGTTTCGACTGTCAGGACCGCAAGGACCAACGGTGAAGGTGGTTGGCCTGTTGCAGTCTGTTCAAGAGCCGACAACATCATTTTCACAACTTGGCATGGAATTTCTACGTACCTCCCCAACAACTACCAGCTGAAACAGGCGTACAATCGTAGCTACCCATTACCTCAACTGATATGCCATGATAGGGGCTCTGCGACGGCCAACAGCAAAAAGTGACTTGAATCTTGTTGAATCCGTCGTTTTGGGGCATGGCGCTCCCCCAATACTTATCATCGCCTAGAAAAATACTGCGTTCATGGCC